TTTCTCAGATCAGAATGTAAATTAAAAGTTCTTAATTTTTGGCAATGGCTTATTTTCCATTTTAGAGGAAATGATTTCGATAAGGAAGTCAAGAATGGATTCTTTTGCGGGAATGCCCTCTCGGATCTAGATCCAAAAAATTGTAACAAGATTTCATAACATGTGGAGATTTAACAACGATTTAAAATGATAGATGAAGAGCTATATTGAAACTTGGTTCATTTTAAGAGAAGTGATGATATTCATCTGATATAACAGGAATCCTTTTGATAGAAAATACACTTTAGAGAGAGGATTTAATTGTAAAAGTTTGAAATCTATCCGAGAAAATATCAAGAAAGAAGAATGTAACTCAGAAATAAACAGCGAAAATTCAAATTTATTGAATTTGGGAAAGAATATAATATTTGGATATCTTGCTCATGGCATGATTTTTTTCTGGAACATATATACGAATGTCGAAGTATTAGTTATCTAAAAAAAAAGCCACTCAAATATATAATAAACTTTTTCAGATACAAGTTAGAGTTGATACAAGACAAATAAATCGAAGCCATTATATTATTTGAAATTGAAGTGAATGCTCTGTTGAAAAATATTCATCTTTTTCCAAAAAAAAAAAAAATAATGTTAGACTCATGATCATACTCATAATCATAGTGAACCATGAATGGAAAGTGATAAGAAAGTTGTCAACGATACCAAAAATATCGATTTAATACAATTATTTTCTGGAATATGAAGTAAAATGCAGTTGTTCCCTATATAAAAATTATATTGCCATGTAAAATATTGAAATGTAATAATAGAACATAAACTAATAGAGAGTAAGTTTTTAGACTTTCCTAACATATAAAAAAATCATAATTTCTTGATTACTTTTTTATACTTAAAATCTTTATGATTACATTGTTATTATAAAGATTTATATATATCTATATTTATAATAGCAAACTTTACTTAAAATAAATATTAAAAGATTGTTAAGAATTATAATATTAATTATTTAAAATTAAATATATTACTATATTTTATATTTTATATTATATTATGAAAAAAATAATTTTATTTTCCATCCTAGAATCTGATCTTTGATAACTATTTTTATAAGAAATCAATTTATAATTATTTTTAATTAAAATTTATAAATATAATTAATTATAATTATAATCAATTAAATAATTACAATTATAGAAATAAGTATGATAATTTTAATTTATTAATTAATATTTGAAAGACATATTTTATAATTATAATTAATTACTTAAGAATTATAATTATTTTCATCGTTCAAAATGGAGAAATATATTAGAATACTATAATTAAACGTTCATTATTTACATACAAGTTAAATTATTATTATATAATTATATATAATATATCTACATTATTTATAGTGGAACTCTTGAATTTAATATTGTTTCTGATTACAATCTAAGTTATTGTTATTTATTTATTTAATTATACTAAAACCATTGAATATTTTTTTTAATTTAAGTCAAGATTTCAGTATATGATGATATCTTGACAGTGAGTTAAGTATTATATTTTGTTTTCTTTTTTAGCGGTTCTATAATTCCATAATGTAATTCTTGATTTTGATTTTTACTTATTTTATTTTTATCTTAATCTTGTATTATTTTATTTGAGCGAGTTAATTTTTAATATAAAATTATTATAATTTGAAATATATTTACTAGTATAATTTTTATGCATACTTATTAGACTATTTTGTATTTTAGGGGAGTTTTGCTTAATTTCTTTTAATATTTTTTGATTCTTTGAAATTAATAGCATGTTTATTTTTAAAATTTTGCTTTTGCATCATTTTGATTATTCCATTTATTTATGCTAAAAATTGGTCTTTATTGATTTCCTATCTATTTCAGTAAAATTATTTTTATTTGTTTATTTTGAATTCTTTACATTTTTGTTTAATTTTCTGATTTTGACTACAGATTGTTACAGATTTATTCATTGTATTTTCTATGTTGTAATTTATTTGAAATCTTTTGAAAATTTTTTTTCGTACAATATCTTTTTATTTCAGGTATTCGTTTTGAAATAATAAATAAAAGCATTTCTTTGATCTCTGATTTTCTGATTTGATAATATCCTTTTTTATAGAATCAATTCTTTCAAAATTGTTTTGAGTTTAATTATTTTTTTAGCTATGAACAAGGTTTGTCTATCTTGATCTTTGTTTTTTTCTTTTTTTTCAATTATGATATAAGCAAGAGGTATTTATTCAGATAAGTGTAAATATTGTAAAGGGAAATTTTGTTATCATTTATTCGTATCCAAGCTTATCAAATCATTGCTTTTTTTCCTTTTAGATCGCTTTCAAATTCAAATGTTTTTGTTTTGTAGGTTTTCTGTTAGAATTTATTATTATGGAATTTATGGTTAGTACAATTCATGACATTTAATTAATCAATTTTCAACTTATCTACTAAAAAATTTAATAAAAAGAAATTGTTATTATACTTATACAAATTTTATTATATTACATTATACTTCTACATTACATTAAATCATTATATTTTATTTATAATAAAATAAAATAGCTTTTTTAATTCTATTTTAATATTATTTTTTTATTTTTTATTATTCCTTACTTATTTCCGAATCTTTCGTTAATAATATTAATCTAAAATAATTTGCATTTTTATGAAAGATAGTAATGTTTTTATTTTCATTCAATCATTATATTTGAAATGCTTAAAATTATTAGGTCATAATCTATATATACATAAAAAATAATGTATACATAGATACAATAGACTGTCGAATTTCAAACATAATCTATTCTAAAAAATGACTTAATTATCAAATTATTTCAATTTTAAATTATCTTCTTTGAAATACTGTAAAGTAAATAAATTTATTCCAAATATATAAAATTTATATAATATAAAACATTTTATTACATTTTCTATTTTAAAAAATATATTAGTAAATAATGATAAAAGAAGTTCAAAAATATTTTTATTTACAATAGATAAAATTTACAATACAAAATAGACAAATATTTTATAATAATCAATTAATTAATAATTTCTATTTATAATAATTAATGAATTGTGATTCATTAACATTATTTATTAACATCATCATCATTGGAATTTTGTTTTAAGAGATATTTATTTAATATTAAGATAATTATATAGAAAAGAGTACTCTTCACCGATTTCAATAAGTTTGAAATATATTTATTATTTTGAATAAATTTTTCTTATATATTATATAAGAATATATAATAAATATATATTATCTTATATATCTTAGTTCTTTTAATTTCAGAAATATTCACAAAAACATTTCTGATATTATTTTTTGCTATTTTGAAAATTGTTTTGAAATATTAATTTAATTGTTATTAAATTGATTAAACTGCATAATACTTATTTGCACATCCTTAATATTTTTATCAAAAATATTTTCAAATGATATCGATCTTTGTTCAATTTTATTTTTTAGATTTTATGGCTTAAATTTTAATAAAATTTTTTTTTATATGACGCTTTGTTTTCGTAGATCATGTTTGAAAATTTTTTAAATATAAGTGAAATTAACTAATTTCTGATTCGATACGAATAAATTATTAATAAATGATTATTTTACATATGAAAATAAGCAAAAAATGTAAAATAAAATTTTATTATTTATGTCATTTATGTTTTTTAAGAAAATCAGAAATTTAATATATAATTAAGGAGTCATATAATTGATATATAATTAAAATTCAATTTCCTTGAAAATTAATTTTTAAATGAAAAATGTATTTTTTTGCTTATTTTCATATTTAGAATAACTTTCTATCAACAGATCATTTATATCCTATAAAAAATCAGTTAATTTCATTTGTATTTGAAAAATTTTTTGAACTTGATTTACTCGAAAACAAAGTCTTCCATGTAATTTCATTATTCTTTATTTTCATTTTATTTAAATATAAAAAAATGTAAGCAAAAATCTAAAATTTTTTCTTATTTCAGTTGTATTTAAATTTTGAATCTTTGTATAATCTTTGTAGAATCAATAATATAATCAAATTATTTGAAATGCAAAAGTTTATGTCTTTAAAAAAAAAAATGAATTTTGTCAGTTAATAATACATAAAAATACAAATACATTAAAATATATTAAAATATATATATATATAATTGTTAAAATTTTATTTATGTTATCTATGTTATGTTAAAATAAACAAAAATAATTTAAACATATAATTTTTTTTCTTCTCTTCGTTTTATTATTTAATTCTTGAATGAAATAATTTTTTACATTATTTTTTATTTGAAAAGTTTTATTATATTTTAAATATTTTCTAATTCTATTATTTGTTTGTATAAAGAAATTTTATTTGTTGTGTAATTATTAACATAAGTAATATGAATGTTTTTCTAATAAATTGTTTGAAATAATAATAATAATTTTGAAAATGTATTTACATTATAAAAATTTTTGGATTCGAACTTAAATTTATGTTATTTTGGATAAAATTTAATTCAAATAAAATATTATTTTCGTATATTATATATTTATATTTATATTGTTTTTCACAAAATAAAATTATATTTCTTATGTTATTTATAAAATAATAAATTATTTGAAATAATTATTTTAAATTATTTATTCATAATGTTATTTTATTTTAAATGTTGTAAAATATATTTAATACTAACAATAATTGTGTATAATTTTTTTAGAAAAAATAAAAAAATTTATAATAATATGTAAATTAATACTAATAATACTAATAATAATAATATGAACTGTAATATGTAAATAATACTAATAATGTGTAACAATAAAATGCAAATTAAATAACGAAAATATTGAAGATATGAATAAATAGAAAAATTATTATTATAAAAATGTTGGGTAAGATAAAAATTCCACCAGAGGTGGAAAATTTTAATATTGATTATGACTTATGACCTTCATTCATTGTTTGTTAAGCTTAATGAATTCATTAAAATTTAGTTTGTCACTCTACTTTCAATAGTATAGTTCATAATTTCATGTTATTATTACAGTCTTTGAGTTCTTATTGAATATATTGTCAGTTATCTTTTTATTGCAATTATTCTTTAATATTTTTTTAAATATATCTATTAAATTTATATTATATTGTGAAATGTTATACAACGGGTATGTAATTTCATTATATGGAATATTGTATATAACGAAATATATAATAAAAATATATATTATATATTTAGAATATTATATGTTTTCATATTTAATAACTAATGTTCATACATTTCTATGATTATTGAATTAATGAAGAGATTAAAATTGTTCTTACGTGTTCTATATATTAGATATTAAAATTTGATATATCTTTACATTAAATCATCTATAAATCAAGATTAATTAAAAGTAATTTAAATATTTATTACATTTTCAAAATGTAAAAAATTAACACTACGATTTATTTCAATCATTTTAATAATTATTTAATAGATTATATAGCAATAATTATTTATTATTATTAATTATTATTATTATTTATTATTATTTATTATATAGCATATTGATTCGCAACAGTAATGAATTTTACAAGACCATTTAATTGATTATGAAATATAACAAATTTTTCAGAAATATTTTATATAAATATTGATAATAACTATTCAAAAAATATATAACTAATATTATATACATATACGTATATATATTTTATATATATAGAAAAATATATAATTATATATATATGTTAATTATTATATTATAATAATTATATATATTAACATATATGTATTATAATATTATAATACATATATATATAGTTTTCGAAGATATAAATTAACTTCTATATCTAATTAAATATATCAAAATATTGTTTAAGAAATATTTTATTTTAATTAAAGTAATTTGATTTAGAATCTACGATTTTTACGAAAATTATATAATGTTAAAAAATATAAAATTATTTTGTCATTTTATCATAAAAATTTATGTAAATTTGTTGAAATTTATTAAAAATTATAATAATTATTTCTAAATATTTGTAATAATATTTCAATGAATATTAGGAATATTAGATTCTCCTGTAACAAGAAATTGTAACTTACTAATTGTAACTAATTTTTAATTTGTAATTTATTTTATTTCAAAGAATTAAAATATTATTTATTATTTAAATGTATTATTTGAATGTGGAATATATCCATGATTCTAGAAAAAGAAAAGTAAAATGATATATCATAATGAAAATCAAATATTTAAAAAAGTTGAAAAATCAGTATTAGTTTTATTATGAAAGTTTTGTTATGAATTTATTTTTTTATAAAAAATTAATAACAAAAATTTTTAATTTTAACAATTTTCAAAACAATTATATATATCATAATATTTCTATATAAGAATATTTTTAACATGAGAAAAAATATACTTAAGTATAATTTTAACTGTACAATTTTACAGAATTCATTTTAATTGAATTCTCCAATTAAATCACCATTTATTCAGATTATTTTAATATTTTATTATAATATATTTAAGTAATAACTTTTAAAATAGAGTTATATGTATAGTAATAAATATGTATAATAATAAAAATATTTTAAGGAACTTATTAATAAAAAAGATTAGCTGCAATTCAATGTTTTAAACAATATTTTTTTCTAATGATTTAGTAATTTTTAATATTTATTAGTAGACATTTATTAATAATTAATATTTTGATAATTGAATAATCATCTATATTTCAGATCATAAATATAAATAATAATGATTTTATATATTATATTTTATTATATATTATTATTTATAATAATTAAAAAAATTTATCACGATTTTGTTATAATAACATGATATAATTGATATTATTTGTTGTAATAATTAAATGATTGATATTTATAATAAAAAATATCAATCATTTAGAAATTTTAATCGTAAATCAAAATCATACACAACAAATAATTTAAGAAGAAAAAGCTTAATATAATATTTTTAATTTTATTTATTTAAATAATATGTATAATAATAAATATAAAAATATATCTATTAATATATATTTCTATATTTCTATTTTAGGAAAAGTCTACGAATATTAGACAAGCATGATGTTTCTGGATTTAGCAACACTTCTATTTTCCATAGCATGCAACAATTTATTCAAACAGTACACGAAATGGAAGATACAATTTTAATTCCCAGGCGGCTTCTAGATTTAACTGTAAACGATTTACAAGATACAATTTATTTGGAAGATAAATATAATTCTATCGTTAAAGCAATTTGGCCTAATACAGATTTGTATCATCTTTATAATATTATTAATCAAATGAAAGTCGAAATGTTATGGTCACATGATCACATGAATAATTGTCATGAATCAGAAAAAGATTCCGCTTTAATACAAAGATTTAAACATATTAAAAATTTAAGTAACACATCAATGTATAGTATAAAAAATACTGGTACTTCCTCTAATTCAGAATCAGATGTAATCATTAAAAATTATTCTGAAATGTTAAATGAAGATAGTGCTAATACTATTATACCATCTATTAAAAAACATTTACATGGATTACATTTTAATATTCAGAAAATGACATTAGCTGCTGAATATTTAATATTAACATATCAAAGAATAATCGATCATCAAACATAATTTTTTAAATAATTAGAAATATAGTAACATACTATAAATTAAAAAGTCATATTATATTACATCATTATAAAATTGAAATATTACATCATTATAAAATTAAACAAATTAATACAAATAAAGATATCACATTATCACTTATAGATATGCTATATTTACATTATTTTGACGGTACTTTCTAATTTATATTATATGACATATTATATAATTATATTATATAATTATATATTATATATAGGAATTATATATAATATATGATATATTAAAAAAAACTGTATAATATGACATAATTAAAATTATAACATTAAATTATTATAATAAAATTATAATAAAATTAAAACATAAAAAAATTAAAGAAAAATTAACAAAATGATATTTTTTTATAATTTTTAATTTCTTTTTGAAATTATATTATTCTCTTTTTGGAATCATATTAAATATTTATTTCTTAAAATTTATAAATATTATAAAAATTTATTTAAAAAAATATATAATATATTAGAGAACAATAATAATTTTTAAATAGATAGGATATATTTATTGTAATATTAAAAATACGACTAAAGCATATAAAAAACTATAAATTTTTATATAAGAAACTCTGTTTTTGGCATTAATATAATAATTATTAAAGATTTAGACATATAATATATTTACAAAATTGAATTTCTTTACGAATTTTTTTTTTTTATATTATAATTAAAAATTGAAATTATCGAAAAATTTTCAAGATTGTTCTTCACATTGATAATCATATAATTATCATAAAATATTGAATTTTGTCAATAAAGATGTTTAAAATTAATTGTTTCCTATTTATATATCGAAAATAAAGTTGTTATTAATTCTTAAAATTATTATTGCATATAAAATATCAAATTTCAAAAATATATAAAATTATTCAAAATTTTGACTTAATGTTGACTTAAATTATATTTATATATGTCAATTTAAAGTTTGAAATTTCCTGAATATTTATAGAATTAGAATTATTTAATATTTAAGAATAAGAATTATAAAAATAATTATAGAATTATGTTTAATAATTATAAATGTTTTTATAAATTATAATTTTTTATAAATTAAATGTTATAATGTTTTTTAATAAATTCATCAACACTTGTGTATTCATATCACATATAAATTTCTTATGTTACTATTTTAAACACAATAAAATATTTGTTAAATTATGCTATTTAAGATATTTATTTCATGCTAATGAAATAATCTATACTATTTTATATTCATTTGCAATTACAATCAATAAAAAACGCAAAATAATATAATAAATAATATATTTAAAAAAGTTATCTAATTCGAAAATTCTGATTTTAATGAAAATTTGTATATATAAACTTAATTAGTTATGGAATAATTTTTTTGATGGAAAATTTTTTTGAGCAAATGAAATCAACCAGAAATGTTTCAATATTTTAAATATCATTTTGCTTAAAATTTTTTTTACAATAGAATGATAGAACATTTAATAGTATTATGAAATTTTTACAATTAAAATTTTTAAATTTTATTTTATTTCGTATTATTAATATATTTAAAAATATATTAAAAATGCATATGAAATTTTGAGCATTAATTTCACTTTAATCAAATCAGTATACTTTACATATTTATAAATTTTAAAAAATAAAAAAATTAATTTTAAATTTTTTTATAATTATTTTTTATAAATATATATATATAATAACATATATAAATAATTGTTTTTTATAATTGAACTCATAGAAAATATATGAAGATTAAGTATATATTTTTTTTTAATAGAATTATTTTTTTTATTGTATTATTCAATTCAATAATTTTCCATAAAAATATAAGTCTATTCATATAAAAAACTTAGTTTACAAGATATCTTAATTTTAATTTTTTTAAATTTATCATATGAAAAACAAGAAGAATATGAACAGAAAAGTATTTTGTATATTTTTTTGTTTTTCTTGTGATAAGATAAATAAAATTTAAATTAAAATTGATTTTATTAAATTGAAATTTAAAAAAAAATTTTTTTCTATTAGTTATTAGAATAAAACTTCTTAAAAAAAATTCTGAAAACAAATAAAAGCATTTAATTTAATTATATCAATGTGTTGGTGAAATGATAAAATTGATTATATGATTTATTCAAAATATAAAAATTATTAATAAGTAATTGACTTAAATAAATATTTTTTTTTTATTATTTATGATGAAAATTAATATCGATTAAATTGCAATAAATAACAAGTTTGGTTTGAAGGATAAGTAGAATATAATGGGATTAAAAAAAAACTTGATTTTAAATTTCGATATCAAGATCAATTTTCAGCAAGTTTTTTTTAACAAATTTTCAACTTTGAAAATATGATTTGAAAATATTTATCTACAGATAAAATATTTTTTATTCTCTGTATTTCTAAATCAAATCCAATACAAAAGATTTGTGAGATGTTATTATGCATAAAATAATAAAATAATAAATAATAAAAAATAATGTTACATATATAAAATATTAGAATTATGGTATTTATAATATAATATACAAAGTTTCGAACCTAAAGCATATATATATATCTGATCAAAAAATTAAGATCATTCAGAATTTTCAACATTTTTCATAAAATTTAAAAATTTGAATAAAAATTTTTAAATTACAAATTTTATTAATTGTTAATATATTTCACATATATTAATATATTTTATGACATATAATATTATTTTTTATTATCCTATTATATGATCAAATAATTCTCTTGTGAATCTAATTGAAAATATTGAAATTCACACTTACATACAAATATTGTATACAAATCATCCGTTAAGAATAAAACCAGAATTAATTTGTGAAGCAACCAGATAGCGACCTTGAATTTCATTATCGATATTTCCAATATTTTCAATTTAGGTTTTAATAATAATTTACAAACAGGTACAGTTTTTTTATAAGATTTTACAAGTTTTCAAGATCTTCAATAGTAGTCGAAATTAAGATATAATAGCGATGGTCACTTTATAAATCACACTTGCGCGCCAAATATCTTGCAATAAAAATATAGAAATACTATAGAAGCGCAAGGATCTTGACCTCCATATGCTGCGATGTGACTTCGCGAGGATTCATTCTTGGAATCATTTTTTTCAAGTTCTATTTTCACAGAAAATATTGGAAAAAATGATATGATTAGACAAAAAACTAAAATCCAGAATCAGATAGAATTCGGTATAGATACAGTTCAAATCAGAGTTAGAAATAGATAGAATTTAGTTAGTTGTCAATCATCGGCTAACTCTAAATAGTTAGAATCAATTACTATTAGTTCACTCAAAGCTCACAATACAAACAATTGTACAGTCTTACAATCATAGGTGTAGAATGCAATTTAGACACTTTTTTGAGTAATATTTAAAATTTTATTGGGCTTTAATATTATCCAAAAATAAAAGATATAATATAGTTCTTAGAATCTCATACAAATTAGAAAGAATATGTAAATAATTATAAAAATATTTAATAGTAATAAATATTATTATTAAATGCTGTATTAAAAACATGAAAAAAATTGAAAATTGTAAATAGTCTTAATTTTTTAAGTAGAGATTGTAAAACTCGAATATATATTTATTTGTAAATAATTTAACATTTAAAAGAATCGAATTTGATGAATTTAAATTTGAAAAATCACAATGAAATTTGAAAGATTGTGATTTTATTTAAAATTTAATCAGGTTATTTCTTAAATTATAAATGTAAAAAATTATTATAAATATAAATTAAAAATATTTGTAAAATAATTGTCAAAAATAATATAATTAGAGATAATTAATTAAAGATAATAATATAGACTAGAGATAGTTATAGAGATTATGTAATATTTTAAGTGATTATTAATTTTTCGAATTAAATAAAGTTTTACTTTTATAAAATATTGAATAGAAATATTAGGCATTTTCATGCGACGGTAGCGTTGGGTACCGGTAATTTGAAAACAGTAACATGAATCAAACCTGGTAACTCGCCAATACCATATCTATATCTAATATTATATTTAAAATTGCAACACAACAAATTTACGTATTTAATGATTAGTCAATATTTTTTATTCATAATTCCAAAAAACGAACAAGGCAAAAAATTTTTTAAAAATTTTAGAGTCTTATCAATTGGTTTCTAGTTTTTTATATTAATTCTTTTGACAATTTATGAAATTCGAAAATCTAAAAAATATATTTCATTTTCAAAAATTTAGTATATTTGTTTTTCAATAATTTAATAATTTAATTATTCGTGTTGATTGGTTTATAATGAGTATCATTTTTTGATTATATATTATAATTTTATAAATTCTAAGTAATAGGTATAATAAGTAAATGTTAAGTAATATGATAAAATCTTTAAAAAAATTTTTTTAGAAAATTTTAAATTAAAAATTTATTCATAATTTTAAATAATAAAAAATTCTTATATTTAAAAAATAATTATATATTTAAAAAATATATTATTTAGAAAAGTTAATAATATGAATAAGATAAAATTTTTATTTTATGATATTTATGATATTTTACATTTTACATTCTAATGTAATTAATGTTTTAATTAATCAACTTTCTTTTATGTTATATATATTGTATTGTATATTATAAATATTGATCTTTCGCAATAGTATATGATTTGATTTTTTATATTTATTTCGAAATCATGAACATTTGAAATAAATGATTTCCTATTTTTTATAGTCTGTATCTTCCTTTATAACGTTTACATTATTATAAATAATTATGGTTATAATTATAAAATACTGTGACATAATTTATTTTTTTTATTATATTTTATTATATTTTACATATTTGTATTTTTTCTTATATTTTTTTATATATGAAGCAATTAAGAAAAAAATATTATGATGATGATTTGGCGTATTATTTATGTATACATTAAGTGTAAATATAACTTTTATTAAATAAATGATTTTATGTTATAATATTAATTGTATGATTTGGAATTCTTTGAGTGAAAGATAATTTAA